GGATATACGCCAGCTGCGAGAATGGCATGTTGTTTGTGGTGCCTCAACCAGCCGCAAGTACGTCTAGAAATTCCGGGAATCAAAAAGAAAAGCAATCACTCCAGAGTAGCATTGAAGCAAGCAACACTGCATTATTACATGAGTTGTACTTAGACCGAACGCAGATATACACTGATGGGTCCGTCTCGTCCAGCAGCTCATCAGGTGCCGCTGTAATTCCGGCTGCAGCAATGACAATCAAGTTTAAGTTTTCGCATGTGAATACATCTGCGGCAACAGAGCTGCTGCTATAAGGGCTGCTTTACAATATCTAGTTCAAGAACGTCCAAGAGAATGGGTCATATTGTGTGATTCGAAGGCAGCGCTTCAGAGTTTGCAGTCCCGCCATGCGTAGGAGGAGTCGTGACCAAATTGGTACAAGAAATAAGACATTGCCATCATGAAGCTCTAGCACGAGGGCATGATATTATATATCAATGGCTGCCTGGACATATCGGTATACCGGAAATCAATTAGCCGCTGATGCAGTCCGCTCAGGCCCATCAAGAAACCCGTGTAGTCCCGATTCCTCTATCAAGGAATGATGCAGCTAAGACAACTTTACCTGCTGGCTCGAGATCTCACACGCACGTTGTGGTCGTACTACAGCTTCCAAAGGTGTCAATTTTATGAACTGGATCCTTCGCTCAAGCTAAAGCTACCATCACAACTTTCCCGCCTCCGAAGCGACCCTGTTATGCCGCCTTTGGTGTGTTGTTGCATTTACAAAGGTGTACTCTTTTCGCACTGGTATGGCAGACCACTCCTACCTGGTACTACTGCGGAGCTGAAGAGACCATCGAAACCGTCCTGTGCAGCTGCGCTTGCTACGACACACAGCGATTCCAGCTCGGATGGTTTTGAATCAACTTGACCCCGGACCATTTTGTGTGCAGAAGATACTAGGACCTTGGGCGTCTGCCTCAGTTGCGCAGAAAGCAACTAAAGCACTGCTAATTTACCTAAAGTGAACAAACCTGAGCGACCGCCTGTAGACTGTGTGTGCTCCCCGAGTGTGCTCGTGATTGTGTACCTTCTCATCTCTTTACAACCTCTTTTCTCCCCTTTATCCCTTCCCCAGTGCAGGGTAGCAAACCGGATGAGTGTCTGGTTAACCTCCCTGCCTTTCCTTGCATCTTTATCTCTCTCTCTCACTAGCGGTCATCGAACGGGCGGGAGCTCATTGCATTGAGTGCACAAAATAGCGGTGGAAGGTTGCTACATTCTACGTACGATGTTGATTAGCTTTACTTTTATTCAACCACTCGTGCTTTATTTCTGCTTTTTAAGGCTGCGAAACGAGATTATGGAAGCAGTTCTGGTTGCTTCTAGGTCTCAGTTAACGCAATCAAGTTTTTTTTTCTTCCCTTTTACAAGGTGCACCTGATTTGACAATTTCGAAACTCCGTTCCACATTTGGGTAACGCTATCTGCTTGGAAGTTTCACGCCATGATGAGGATTCGTTAAGCTGACTCCTCGATGTTATACGCACAGAGTTTCGAGGCCATATTTCAAATGGACTGTGTTTATTTTTACGTCTCTGTAGGGTTCACTGTGATTAAGGGCAACTCTTAGGATACATTTAAGATGTATCAGTTTTCGCAGCCTGTAGAGACCGTATTGCAATGCACCTGCAGGCGCAAACGGCCACTTTCAAATTTATGTTTGCCTATACATTTAGTTTGTAAGACTATTGATGCGGCACTGACTTCATGCGCAGCTGGCGGTCATATGGGAGACCAAGCTTTGACGATGATGCATGAACTACGGTATGAAAACTCACACATTTTTTAATGTCGTTGTTCAAAGCAACCTATGTGATCACAGCATGATAGTTTTCACTGTTGCTGCTACCTAAAAGCACAATTATGGGCAAGTACAACAACAACGACAACAACAACAAAAATCTGTCTTCATTGTGTCCCCTATATAGAAAGCCTTCAGTACCTTTGTAACATTCGTTGTCACTGTTAACAAAAGGAGTGATTGCAATGCACAGGATAACAGAGGTATGACATGACGAAAAATAATGCATTAAAAATAATGGAACTTTCCTTCACACTTTGGGAAGCCAGGGCACAAGCTTACAGCATCTACAGGCATGACTGTCAAAGCCCAATCATTTCAACAGTCTGTGTTGTCCAGCTGTTCATACTAATTGTGCATGTTTGGAGGGATCTGTTGCGTTTTGTGTTCAGAAAACATTATTTTTCTATATGCATGGTCATGAGGGCAAACAAAGCACAGTGAACAAAGTATTAGCAACATCAACATCATAAGTGACAAAAAACAAGAGAAAAAAATTTCATGGTAAGTATTGCAGTTGATTTGGGGAAGCAATAGTTGGTATACTTGAGCATGGTTGCACAACAAAAAAATAGAGGCGTGAAGCAGAGTGAGATTAACCCAGCCAGAACTTTCAGCTAAATATAGGGTACCACTGAAGCAGTTTATGTACAGACACATTATGGATTAATAACGCATGAGCAGTGAACAAAAATGACAACAGTCACAAAGTAAACAAAACCACCACCGGTAAAATTGATTTTCTGATATTGAGAGCAAAGGGACACTAACGCACTTCTTACACACTTTTGCAATTTCTTGAGGCTCAGTGATTTCCAGAATGAGCTGCGTATTGGTGGTGGTGGTGGTGGTGGTGATGGCTGTGTTGTCGCAACAGATGAAGTTAGCTTTACCTAAATGGCCGCCACTTGGTCTACTTGAGCATCTTCTCAATTGTAATGGTCTATCAACAAACGTCACACAGCACAGGGTCTCGCTGAAAGAAAGCACCAAGAATGCGTTGCACGCTCCTTACCGTTGCTATGGGCCTTTCAGGAAAAAGGAAATCTTCAAGTGTCCCGTGCCTGTGACAACCTTTTTGCAAGCCGCACACCATCGCTGCCCTCTCCCTTTCAAAATGCGGGCACCGCCACATAAAAGATTCGATGTCACCGATGTCCCCATGAAAGACAAAAAACGTTGAAGCGCCTCAATCAGTCTTGGATGACCAAGACGGTGTGTATGCCGAGTCCGATCCCATGGAATGCAATCATGCAAAGGTATTCATAACAAATTCGTGTCTGCTCCTTCCTCTTAATCTCGTATTTGGCGCTCCGCAATCCCATTCGTTATTATTGAAGACCCACTTGCCAAGTTGAGCGCTATGTTATGTACAAACATACGAATTTATTATTCGAGTCACTTTGTCCACCGGCAGAACACAGCTCATTATAGAAACCACTGAACCTGGGGTGATTGTAAAGCTGGATGATAAGCACGTTAGTGCCCTTCCGTTGGCTCTCGCCCTCGACAAACAATAGATAATTTTATCAATTGGGTCAATTACGAGCATTCTGCAGCGCAGTACCACATACCGCATCTACGAGCAGGTGAGTATGTGTGAATAACACACCATGCAGTGCTCACGACCTTGCACATTTTACATCAAATTCACAGAATTTTAAATGGGAAGCATTTCTTAGCAAACTTTGGTGACTTCAAGCGTGTCTATCTATCTTATCTATTTATCTATCTATCTATCTATCTATCTATCTATCTATCTATCCGCTTACGCTTGGATGTGCTCGTGGTCACCCCCTTAACTTGGCGTGAACAAAAATCAGCATGTGAGGGTAAGATGGTTTGACGAATATGACGCGCTGGTCAAGACATGAATAATGTCACAATCCCGTCGCGTACACCGTGAAACACTTCCTGTCAGACCATGGCACATACTAAGGGGCGGGTATGTGCTGCTGGTAAGCGGGTATGTGCCACAGGTTATTGACACTTATTATCTTCCCAAGTGCGACGAAAACACACATGTGCAACTTTAACGCGCGAGCGTTAAGCTATACCCGACATCAGTAGCGCCGACCTACCGAAGGCATAGAATGAATGTCAGTGTTAATAAAAACCTGACATTGGCAGCGTTGGCCACCCGACGAATGCAAATAATAAATTTCATGGTCCCTGCAGCAATCAAACCCAAGCATTCTGCGTGGCAGTCACGCATTCTACCAAAAAGCTTCGCCAGGTCTCGAAACTACTCTTCAAATAGACGCTAATCTTCATGAAACAACAATAGTGGTTGCAGTGCTGCCTACCCAATTATATAAACATTACATTAGTACTGCTTTCATACAGCCGTCACGTCAGGTAAACGCTAATTGGGGTGAAGTTTCATGTGCCGAAACTGATTTAAATAGCAGTGTCAAAGGCCAGCATGTCCGCGAGCATCAGCGCTTCATCTCAGCTTCTGGTGTTGCTATAACACATTTCCAGCTGACATCAATGTGCAAGTGGAGGACTGGTTGTATAAACATCTGCAACTCTTCAACACATGTCTGTGTGTGAAATAGTTTATATTTAGCGTGATTTTATGGCGTGTCGTTCAGAAAACAAAAGTTGCAACATGGTCACCTTTCCTCCGCATGCTTCGCATAAAGTTGATTTCCAAGTACGTGGGATCTGCTGAATATTTCTCTATTATTTTATAAAACCACTGTTCCGAGAAATTCAATCGAATCTATTTCTTTGCATCCTTATCACGGTGGTTTGCACGATGTCTACATGTCTTTTTTTAATAAGGCGAAGAGGAGAAGAAAATGCACCTTTTTTCCCCTTTGTGATTAACTATAATGAAACTCGGACAATACATGCACCCATTCCCTTTAACGTATAGATAATTGAACCAGTTGATTATTCATGAAACTTATTACAAATGCGTAACTACGCTGTCTTTGTCTTCTTGTGTCCCTACGTATTCACATACATGCATATTCAGTATAATGTGCTTTACACTTTTTGCTTTCTTTCTATTCTATATATGTCAATCCTCCGGTTCCTCAGTCTAGGATAGCGAGCCAGTTTTGCTGGTACTGCTAGTTAACCTTCATCTTGTCATCTTTTTATCTTGTGTCTCCTCATTGATGTACTGCCTCACTTACCACAGCTCCTTTGGCGCCGGAGAAAAACGAGCTTTTGTCGAGCAACTCCAGCGCCGTGCAGCTGAACCTGCGCTCCTGGAAGGACGGTGGCTGCCCTATCCGCTTCATCACTTTGCAGTACAAGCTGCGTGAAGAGCGTGGTTGGACGGCTGTGCCAGAGACCATCGATGCCGTTGCCTCCGACGCCTACGTGCTCGGAGGCTTGCATCCGGGATCGTGGTACCACCTTCTCGTATCCGCTTCCAACGACGCCGGCTCAACCGAGGCGCAGTTCGTCTTCGCCACGCTCACAGCTGGTGGAGGTTGGTTCTGATGATTGGGAGTGTCTACTTTTACTTTTCGCTTAGAAGGACACATGAATTCTTTGAGCGAAACCATCTTTGCTTATAGCTTGTGCCACAGCAGCAACAGTGGTAGTTGTAGCAGTAATAATAGTAGTAGTTTTGGCATGGGGCGGTAGTGGTGCTCATGGTAGGCGTCCGTTAAAAAGCCACAGGCCGAGCATGCCAGTCATGTGATCTAGCATTAACAAATCTAGTATTAACCGACATATTCCAAATATAGGGGCTAATTCATGACATCACAAGATCTCGCTAGCTAATCATTAAATGCACTCGCGCACTTTTGTACGATTGGATTGCGAAACGACGTGGGTTGCAGTTTCACACGAACAGACTTCGCCAAATTCAATATGGGTAGATGTGTGGCAGTCCGCACCACCAGCACTGCCGAGGCGGAAGCTGCTTATGAAGAACTCGGCGGTTAACAGAAACGACGAAGGCGCAGCGTTGTGCGCTTAACACCCAAGGTACCACGCGACTAACCTAAATCAGCTTGGCTGCCCGACCAAATTTACGTAAATGATGGACGATGATTTATTGTATGTAAAGCAGCCCTTTGACTCACGTGCGTAACGCCGTACGTACGTTCATCCGTACGAACGTGCCGCAACGCGTTCCCCTCGCCGCAGGTGTTGGAGTGATACCAAGTAGGTCACGCGCACAGATGTCACTGCCACCCTCACCCGCGGCATGCTCACCACAGTGCCCACAGCTGCCCCTTCGATGTCGCGTGTCTGCATGAACTTCTCAGCGTGCGCTTCACCGATCACAAGGGTGAAGTGTTAACCAGTTTTTCTTGCGTTTTGTCTCCGTGCAGCCACTATACCACCAATGACTCTGCACCCCGAAGAGAGTACGGCGTTTCCTCGGAGTGTGACCCTCGTGGTGCCCATTATCTGTGCCTTCGTCGTTGTGCTGGTCATCGGCGCGGTAGTTTACATGATGTGCAACCGCCGTACCAGAACTCACGACTACAGTGCCACGGCTCAAGTTTCCGGTAAACTCATGAATCAGTTCTAGGTCTGCTCATGAATCACATTATGTTATGTAAGCCAATCATCACACAGATAATTGACCAGTACCGCTGGCCAGTTAGTAATGAGGTTGTTTCATGTCAAACTAGCATAAGTCTTTCGACGGAGCTCAACAGACTGGAAAAAATTGCCATCAGATGAAGGATCAGGTGGACAGTCTCTGTTAGGCCACGGAAGGTTTTGTCGCACCATTTTTGCTAGCTGGTGCCATCTGCAGTTAGTTTCACTCCCTTCTTTTTATTTTCGTGGCAATTCACAAGATCATATTTAAGGTGGACATGTTATAGTTGGCATAACACAAGATAGCGCTTGTTTTGTGCTAATCTTGTCTCGTGTTCGTTTAGTGCGCTATGGTTCCTGAAAAACATTGGACTCCTAACTCACCCAAACGTTCTTCCTTAAGAAGCGTGGTACAAAACTCTACCAATTATTTCCGGAAGTGCTTACAACTTCTCGAATCATATGAAAAGAATGAATCGTCTTACGTTTCATGAAAACAAAATTGAGTACACATGCGTTTGTGTTCAGGAGATCGCAAAGTTAATGAGTTCTAGCACACATTAGAGAGTCTGTCTTTTTGAAAATGAGGAACCTGTTATGAAAACGATAATGTTTCAAAAACACCCATCGCATGATGTATCAGCAGTTTACAATTTTTTTTTCAATTTTAATGAAGCGGTAATCAAAATGACCCATAACTTTTACGCTAATACTTTAAGTGCTGGAATCACGTTTTTTTATAGCGTTTACATTCCCATACAATTGATGATGCTATGCCAAACATCAGGCTAACGTGAGATTTCCTCTTAAGAACAACACTAGCATGAACATATTTTGTGTGTCACCCAGTTTCTCAGCTGCACAGTTTTTTTTGAGAATATTAGATACAATGGATCTGAGAAACAAAACAGTTGTTTTTTCAAACTGCGATGTTTCACTTCGATCGCACCTGTTCAGGATTTGGTTCGCAATTTGTTTATTTTTTGCTTCTGGAGAGCAACTTGTTTTTCCTAACACTGCGGAACCAGCAGGTAACGTGCCTTGATTGACTTCGATGGCTTTGCGCCTATTCATACATTTTCCTCTATTTTTCTACTGCTACTTTGCAGAACGTGCATGTGGAGGTGATACGAAGGGCGACTCTATTTCAATGACGTCCGTCGGCAAGAAGGTCTACGAGGCCCCACGTGGCGACCCCCTCTACTTCCCTTCTCCGTACGCCACCACACACATATCGGTGTACTCTGGTGATGCGGACTCACCTTCGGGCGGTGGCCACAGAGGTCACCCTAATGCCGCGATGGGAGGTGGTGGGGGAGGCGTCGCTGGCAATGGCGGTCCCCTCACCGGTCGTCCTGAACACACCTACGATGTGCCGTTCCCGCCCAAACAGGTGTGCTCCTTTCGCGAACACATTTGACGCGACTTTTGGCAGCAAATTTCGTGCTACAAGAAACTAGGACGGATAAAAATAAACTAAGACAAAGTAGAAGAGCTTCACGCAGCGTACATGACAAACCAGAACCTAATAATGACAAACATAAGCGCTGGAAGGAGGCTCTTCGCAGGTGCCTTATATGATTGTCTAGTGCCTACGCCCCCGCAAAACTGTCGGTAAACTTTACAGAGTCGTTTGTCTATTATGTTCTGCGCCGTCCTTGGCGCTGATCTGTGCTGCTCTCCATTGTCATAATTAACCCCTTAGCCCAGCAGTACGTCTCAGACTATCATGGTGTACCTCGTGAATATATTATGATTTTTGGTCTCATTCATGATTTGGTGCGCGTTTTATTTGCTTTGTTCAACACTGAGTACTTTAGGCATTCATTCATTCATTCATTCATTCATTCATTCGTTCGTTCATTAAACATTATTAAGGTCCTGAAGCCCGGTCTTTCCAGACCGAGGCGGGCTTCGTCCACGTCGGTACCATCAGGCTGAGCCTTACGGTAGTATTGTGGACCTTTTGGACAATGTAGTTGATCTTGATAAGCAAATTGACAGAGATGAACATTTGAACGAATAGCTGGATAAGTTTGCCTTACTTTTGATAGGAGAAGCTTCGCTCTATCATTTGTCAGTAAAGCCAATCTTTTCAGTGTCAGCCATATTAATGGGACAGCCTGTCAGCATATGCCTGATTCGAATGATGCCGCGTGTTAATTTTTGTTTAACTTCACGCTGAAGGTAAACTTCATTTGGAAAATACGGGGTGGAATATGTTTCGGCCTGCAGTAAATGTAGTGTGAGTGCTTGAGTCCTGTTCAACGTTACATGTAGCAGTAAGAATTGTCTGCGCCCCATGTAGTAGTATTTCGGGATATAATTGTAACTAATAATATAAAACTTGAATTTTATGTTCCAAAACCAGGACATGATTATGAGAGACTCTGTTGTGGAAGGGTCCAGAGATTTTGTCTATCTGGTGTTCTTTAACGTGCACTCACATGGGACAGTACACGGGCAACTGCTATTTCACCTCCCCCGAAGTGCGACCGCCACGGCTGGGACCGACTCCGTGACCCTAGGGTCAGTGGTCACTGATCTACCGATGAGGACAGCTGTGCGTGATTAAATGGTTGTTGTTGGATCGGTAATAGTAGTGGCCTTCGGGTAGGGTCTGAGCGTCACGACAAGCGCTAGCTAGCTCTTTTGTCACCTCACTAAGGTTGATCCCAGTATCACCCATTTGTTTCATATGTGCAAGAAGCCATCGCATTCCACCTCTACAGAGTAGATATGAGCAAGGCCATTATTCAAGCTGCGATTGCGTGCAAAATAGAGGACAATTGTGTGCTCCGCGAACTTTATATTGAAGTAAATACTTATGAATGAAGTGCAAATGGCCAACTTTGGTACATCATGCTGATATTTTTAAATAAACGATAGCTTGAGAAGTATTTTCATACGCTTCGTTGATACATACCCTCTATATATGCACATGCGGAGCCCGCTTGGCATTCAACATGGCAGATATTCACACAGCAGCCAATAGATGACAGCAGATCTTGCACGAGGTCTATAGTTCATCTCGCAAGCTGGTTTTGCAGCACTGTAGAAGTTACGGGGCTGATTAAACAATGAAAAGAGCGAGCACTCTCTGCGACATATTCATCCATGTTGCCTCGTACCCTCGGTTATGGTAAGCGTGGTTATGGTTCACGGGTCCGCATAGCGCATGCGCTCACATGTTCCGCGAGTAGAGCGATGACGCGTCAGCAAGCAGCTCTCTTATCGGCGGGCTGCAATGGTACCGCGGGAGCAACGAACAACATAGCAGCACTCGCCCAAGGCAGTTCCTTGCACCTCGAAATCATTATGTCCTGCCATGCGCTCTGGCCCATACTACGTTCAAAACCGGCGCTCATGTTTGCGTTATATTTGTGCCCTGGCATTTCGACAGCAATGCACGCGTGTCCAGTTTGCACTTCTTTTCATGGTTAATTCTCACAATGTTGGTGACAGCCCTTGGCAACTATGGTTGAACAAACAGATGACAAAATGCAACAAACGACAATAATGAACACAAAACGCACCTGCCACTTTATCCTAGCCGTCAGAAGACACAAAGCAAAAGCTGGCTCCATGGTTCACTTATTGCTGTCAGGACAGAGAGCAAGCAAGCGCGAGTGCGGACATAAGCGGGCGATCACGTCCGTATGAGCAGTACTCCGTTGGTTCACCATCACAAATATTGACGTTTACAGATACAATAATTAACTACCTATGACGCATCACATGTGGGTTGTCCTTAGCGTATACGCTTTTCCTGTGATGTAGCACTTGCCAAACAAACGCAGTTGCCTAAACATTCTCTAATTAAAATGTAATTATGAATAGAACTATGCTTTGCTGTGAAAACAAGTGGTTGTCTTACGCCTTGTAGGTTTCACCTTACTGAAACGAGTTTTTGAGATAGCACTTGGTTCACTTGCACATCGTAGCTTCCACACTACTGCACCCGCCTTGTAAGATGGGGCCTATGATGGTCGCTCGGTGCCGTTTAGGATATTTTAAGCTTTCTTTAAGGCTAACGCTTTACATCGCGAACAAAACCAGTGGTCTTGGCAGCTAAACTGTACGCAAATGTTACGTGACCTGTCGAGCATCGCTCAACACAGGCAAACAGCAACCATGTACGCGAACATTAGCGCGACTTGACCTACTCTTACGTATGTAATAACCCGAAAATTACGCATGGTAGAAGAGATGAAAGACATTGAGCTCGGACCTAATAGATTGCGTAGTAGGCCGAAAAGGTACGCAACGGCAGAGGTGGCTCGACGAGCACAAGATGTCTCACGACTAAGCAAATAGTTCGTGAGATTTGGACCCGATGTTTACATTTTTCATGCATTACCATTAAGGTTTTCACGTTGACGTAGACTTCGCCACAGTGGAACGCAACCTGATATTTTTCGTACGTTGGCTGCTGGATGAAAAAAATAAGGATGATGCTTTTCCCGTTGTCAAAAAAGGAGAAGGACCTCAGTTGTGCCTGCTCATAGATAGATAGATAGATAGATAGATAGATAGATAGATAGATAGATAGATAGATAGATAGATAGATGGATAGATAGATAGACAGACAGACAGACAGACAGACAGACAGACAGACAGACAGACAGACAGACAGACAGACAGACAGACAGACAGACAGACAGATAGATAGATAGATAGATAGATAGATAGATAGATAGATAGATAGATAGATAGATAGATAGATAGATAGATAGATAGATAGATAGATAGATAGATAGATAGATAGATAGACAGACAGACAGACAGACAGACAGACAGACAGACAGACAGACAGACAGACAGACAGACAGACAGACAGACAGATAGATAGATAGATAGATAGATAGATAGATAGATAGATAGATAGATAGATAGATAGATAGATAGATAGATAGATAGATAGATAGATAGATAGATAGATAGATAGATAGATAGATAGATAGATAGATAGATAGATAGATAGAT